AATAAATAAATACATACATACATACATACATACATACATACATACATACATACATACATACATACATACATACATACATACATACATACATAAAATTTAAATAAATTGAATTAAAATAAATTTTAAAAATAAACAAACAAACAACTAATTACATACATACATCTAAAGAAATTTAAAATGAATTAAAATAAATTCAATTAAAATAAATTTAAAAATAAACTAACTAACTAACTAACTACATACATACATAAATAGATAAATGGATGGATGAATGAATGAATGAATGAAATACTAAGCCATTGTTTAGACATAAAAACGAAAGACAGACACGTGTCTAAAAAAATGATTCAAAATGAAAACAGAAATAAAAATGTATGTAAAAAATTTTTGATTATGCAAATTAATATTTACATTCTTGCAACAAAAAAGGCAACCGAAGGCTGAAAAAATGAAAACAGGTTCTACAAATCGACCCAGGAGAAGACCACATTTTTCTTAAAAAATAGGGAACGCATCTAAAACAAAAAATCTTTATGGTTTTTACTTGGTTTGAAATAAAATATATAAATGTAAGAAATTAAAATATATATATATATATATCTGAAACAACTGACGACATTTTCTCAAAAACAAAACAATTCCACAACGCCCCCCAGCCCCCAACACAAACATATCCCCAAAAATGTGCTAAACCTGGGCTAGGGTACAATGTCAAAAAGAAGGGTGTCACAGTGGACATGAAATGTTCACGTTACAAGCGCATGCGTGTTGTGGAGCAGGACAGGAACCGGATGGGCTCAAAGACTGAAAACACTCTGATAAAACTTCAATATCTGATCCAAAACCTAGTAAAGGTGACAAGGGAGCCACCGCCTCCCTCGACAATTCCCTACCTGCTATTCATTCCAAGTCATCGCCCTGGCTTCTGTCCTGGCTTTCCGGACGCCACTCGTGATGAAGACGGTTCAAGAATTGTGAACGATAGCAGGGCAGAGAAGATCACGTCCTGATTATTTGCATGGCTAGGCTTTAAACGATCACGATTTTGAGGCCCATCACTGATCTGCGAGCTTAAAACAAAAACGATGACTGATCCAAAAAAAAAAAAAAAAAAAAACAATGCACAAAAATCTGCTGCCAAACCTTAGACTAATGATACCAGCACAGAATGTCACTGGAATGAACGAGATTGTGTTTGCTGTAATGTCTTATTTTGCTGATCCAACAAATAAATAAATAAATACATACATACATACATACAAGACTAATGATAACAGCACAGAATGTCACTGGAATGAACAAGATTGCGTTTGCTGTAATGTCTTACTTTGCTGATCCAATAAATAAATTAATTAAAATAAATTTAAAAAATAAACTACATACATACAGAAATACATAATACATACATACATACATAAATACATACATACATAAATGGAAAAATGGATGGATGGATGGATGAATGAATGAAATACTAAGCCATTGTTTAGACAAAAAAATGAAAGGAGACAAACACGGGTCTAAAAAACGATGACAGAAATAAAAATGTATATTAAAAAAAAAAATAGATTATGCAAATAAATATTTACTTTTTTGCAACAAAAAAGGCAACCAAGGGCTGAGAAAATTAAAACAGGTTCTACAAATCCACCCAAGAGAAGAACACATTTTTCTTAAAAAATAAGGAACGCATATAAAACAAAAAATCTGTACGGTTTTACTTAGTTTGAAATAAAATACACAAATGTAAGAAAAAAAAAAATCATCTGAAACAACTGACGTCATTTTCTCAAAAACAAAACAACTCCACGACACCCCCCCCCCCCCACCAGCCCCCAACACAAACATATCCCCAAAAATGTGCTAAACCTGGGCTAGGGTACAATGTCAAAAAGAAGGGTGTCACAGTGGACATGAAATGTTCACGTTACAAGCGCATGCATGTTGTGGAGCAGGACAGGAACCGGATGGGCTCAAAGACTGAAAACACTCTGATAAAACTTCAATATCTGATCCAAAACCTAGTAAAGGTGACAAGGGAGCCACCGCCTCCCTCGACAATTCCCTACCTGCTATTCATTCCAAGTCATCGCCCTGGCTTCTGTCCTGGCTTTCCGCGACATCATATCCAGTAGCATCCGGTCAACCGTTAACGCCAGCGTGACAATCTGCTTCTGAACCTTCGACCGCATTTAACGGAGCGCATTTGGTCATATGCTTGATCACAATGGAGGGTCAAAGTGCTGCAGCAAAGATAGCACCTCCTCGTCACAGGAAGTGTGCTCCTGCGCTCACCTGGATGCCCGGAAATACAAGCTCGAGAACAAAGCTTCACTGAATTTAGCGTTCCAGGGTCCCCCGATAATATATTTTTACAAGGTCCGAATAGCAAAAAATTGTGACTGATTGGTGCCATCCCTTAAAAGGTTTTCAAATGTCGCTGTAAGCCAAAAGATGGCAGCAACGCGCTACTTATGTCTGAATGCAAGTCCTCCTAAACTCACTTCAAGGACATTTTTTGGGCACTTTTTCGAAAATAACAGATGGCTATCAAAATAAAATCTGCAATTCGGTGAATTGATGAAGGCAAACACCAGATATACAGAAGTTTACTTTACCAATAAATGCGAGAGGAACCAAAAAAAAAAAAAATTGATGTCATATTTCTTAAGAAACAACTGAATTCATGCAGGGTTGTCAGATTTCTGTGATGATGCGTCACAATCACATCAAAGATTTTAATTTGGGTCCAAAGTTAAGTGGAGACGAGGAACTGCTTTGTTATGTTTGTTTTATTGGTGCACTGGGACCAATATCTAGGTCGGGATGGGCCGTTAGGGATAATAAATAATAATCATGATTCTTTTGATTGATATTGAAATCATGATTCATAAAAACGATGATTTATTCAACGACCAAAACTCAACGACTCAAAGCTACCATGATAGCATCACGCTGATTCATCCCCGCACGTTCAACACTAATGGATGTCGATGCTAATTTGCCGTGAGCGTGTCAATGGGACTTTGCATTCACTTTAGCATTCGCACTGACGGTGTTTTGAAAACAAAGCACGTCTTGCAATCAAACACACAATGTGCGAGTATTTTTGCTTTGTGTTTAGTTTTACTGTCAACTCCAACTGGGGTGTCATTTCACGAAATAACCAGGGAGTGCAGAATCACATACACGTCACCACGTTAGTTGCACAAGCAAAGCGGTGCATTCATGGGACTTTCACACTGGTGGGATCTTGCACGTCATTTGCCCAGCCATATATGGAGACATGGACTTTTTTTTTTTTTCAAACTCAACATAATTTATTGCAAATGACTTTGCAAATCTGCAACTTACAGCTCACAGAATGCCTTGGGGGTTGATGGCGGGTGGGGGGTGGAAACATTGGTCTAGAAAGCCTTTTTCTTCAGCCCCGCCTACTTCGAGAGCCAGAGCCAGGTGGCAGCAGTGGTTGGTCGGACATTCCACTTCCCCATAAATCTGGGGGGGGTCAGCTTTTGTTTGCCGGCAAGCTCTCCCACAAAAAAAAAAAAAAAAGAAAAAAAAAAGGCCACGACGAAGCGGGGGGCTTAGCGAGGTGGTGTGCATGGCTAATGAGCAAATAGTGCAAAAGAAACCACTCACTCAAATGTTTCAACAGCCAGAGGACATTTCCGACTCTTCCTCTGCTCCATGCATGCCGACGACCCATAATATGTACCCACAAACTTGACTTTTGTCCAGTCTTATAATTCACCACCTTGTTATATTAAAAATAATAATAAGTAATACATTGTTGCCATCTTCCCGCACCTCGGTTTTGTTAACTTTAATTTATTGCTGCTATTTTTTTTTTTTGCTATCGGCGTTTTTACACATCCTGTTTTTGTTGGCGGTCGCTAAATGCTCTTCATGTAAGGGAACAGTGACAGTTTGTTTTTGCTTATCTCCTGATGCAGCTACTCATACTAAATAGCCCGTGTATTCTTACCATGCAAATGTTGTGCATGTAAATGCCATAAGGGGAGCTTAATGACTCGGTAGTTTATGTACCATGGGTTCATGATTGTGTACTTGCTAGATATATGGTACATATTGTCTGTGTTGTGACAGCCCACGTTAACTAAATCAAAAACCAAACAGAAAACCAGTCTGCGTTTTAAGTGCTTTGCTGCCATCTTGTGACATCGAGAGGCAATTACAATTGAGGAGGGATCATCAATTAGTCGCAGATTTTCGTTATTCACACGGACGGGGGCAGAGCTCTGCTACAACTGGGGGAAATGGAGACTAACTTATTTTTGAACAGGGGTTAAATCATTGCCTGTTATTATTTTCGAGTATGTGATACTTGGCATACCTTTACACCTCTGTACTGTCAAATTAAAAACACTCGGAGAACGGATTGCGTAGAAACTTTGGCATTCCACTGCATGTTTCTTAGATGGTTTTGTCGTTTACGGCTCATATTTCGGTGTCCTTAGTTTTCTCAACGTGGGACACGGGTCCACTCAGTAGGCTGCATTGCAGTTAAAACACCCCTTCACGCACAAAACGACATTTTAAGTAGGTTCTACGAGCACAAACATGACTGCACTTCACTCATTAGACTCGAAACCGCTTCAAATTCAGCGAGCGCACTGGAGTCACCACAGCGATGCTGACCACTGTGCTACATTAACACTTTTATTTCCTCCTTTCCTGTTGCCTCGTCATCACCACCGCACTAAACTATAAATGAGGATGTACACACAAGAAGAAGTCATGCCGGACTGATTGAACCTGCTCGGAGTGTAGTGCATGTTGCCACTTGCAGACCAATGCTGGTAAAAATCACTCCATCTCAAGGACTCGGGTTACGCTGAGTCACTCACTAAAAATTACTTGAATCATTTGAGGCAATGTTGTTTCTGGTTCATAATGTACCCTCAAATACTACTTAAGTTTCATTTTGTTTCATCACAAATACACAAATCATGTAAGTCCCTCCACACTGCCAGCAAGTCACCTAACTTGAGTCAGTGGATCAAATAATCTGCTTTGAACAACATTTTGAGTCGTCTCACTCGATTCGCCGAACGAAGTCACACAGGTCTGCAGTGTCTCTGGTGAGCTCACTACCTTGTATCATCAGTCCGTTGCTTCCAGTGACTCCACTTGAATCACGGAACAAAGTTTTCCCAAGTGCCCGGTGCTCCTGATAATCCCACTAACTCGAGTAAGCGAACCAAATCATCCGAGTCTTCGAACCAGAGTCAGTGAATGAAGACAACCAAATCGTTGGTGTTTCTGGTAAGACCGCGGAGTCAGTAAACCAACTCACCTGAGTTCGCCAACTTCAGTCTGTATACCGAATCATCCTTTACGTTTCCAGTGACTCCACTCACTCGACCTTTTGTACTCAGCAACAGCCAAGCAAGGGACTCGGGGAAGACTCCGGACTTGTGATTCCTGATCCATTACGATCATCATAAAATGACAGCGGATTCAGGAGCCGTCCAACTCCGTATAGACATCCAGTTATGACACACCGATCACTTTATCATCATTTTGCTCTTCCTCATCATTCATCTGTTGAGCAGACCAGCGAGCCACTTGGAAACAATGCAAAGACTCATTTGCTCCTTTTATGGCTCCCTGGTGTTAAGTGTTGAAAGGAGATACTCATCATGTAACATCAACAGCATTACCAACTAATTCGCCAATTTGGAATAATTGAATATCCCTGCACACAAGTTAGCGAGTTAAATAGTCGAGTTTTTCAATTTAAGGCCAAAACTCGTCTGAAAAAAAAAAAACCCACAAGAGATGTTCCAAAGCTAACGACGCGCCTCTCTGGCTAACAGCGAACTCGGAAAACATTACACGTACTGCTCATTTCTAATTAATCACGAATAATTAATGTATGATGAAAGGTTTCAGCAATTAGCCAGACCCGAGCGGGAGAAGAGAAAAAGAAAAGAGAACATCATTTTACCTTGAAGCGATTTTAACACGCCGCGCCAAACTTCCTCGCTTGGCTCGCTTGCCGTGCATCAAGCTATCCTCCGCCGCATTCTCGCGTAGAAACCAACCAAAAAAAAAAAGTTGTTTTCCCCCTCTCCGATACTTTTCCACCGGGACGCGTTAGCGTTGCTGAAGCTTACTGTCGGGTGTCTCCTTGCTTGGGCTGGGTGCCATTGCGGCCGTCTAATACGTGGACAGCAACGTCACAGGCAGGCGGCCTACAACAGTACAGTCGGTGTTTACATGCCACTGCGCATGCGCCATTGATTTATTCTTCGCCTTGACGTCAGCGCCATCGCTTGTCCAGAGTGTGCAAATGCACCTCAAATATTACACTTGGCTTCATTCATTCAAAGAAGCAACCATATTTTACAATACAGTATATTTAAATCATAATGTGCCAAATAATGTTGCATAAACATCTGGTCTGGTTACCGTATTTGGTCTCTTTGGGTGGGTCTTAAATTTACTCAACAAAATTTAGGTCAATATTTGGTTTTACTTGTGTTACTGTCCTGTAATTGTTGTTTCCTTATCATTGCTGATATATTGCCCATTGCTATTGATGGTATACTTGTGACTCTTACTACTTGAAATGTGCAGATTTGTGCTCTGCATTTGTTCTGGCTGTCTCTTACCATTGTTGGTATTGTTACTTTCCAAAAATGAGAATGGGTGTGGCACTAAAAAAAAAGTTATCTTGATTAAGTTTGACTGGAATATTACATTTTGATTGTCTTATTCATGCTGACGCTGCCTGAAATAAATGAATAAATTAAATAGTTGTTCCATCCATCCATTATCCGAGCTGCTTGTCGTCATGAGGGGCGCAGGCGAGCTGGTGCCCATCCCAGCTGTGTTCGAGCAGTAGGCGGCGTACACCCTGAACTGGTTGCCACCCAATCTCAAGGCACACATAGACGAACAACCATTCACACTCACAGTCACACCTAGGGACACTTTAGAGTACTTCATTAACCTACCATGCATGTTTTTGGAATGTGGGAGGAAACCGGAGTACCCAGAGAAAAGCCACACAGGCACGAGGAGAACGTGCAAACCCCACATAAGAAGGCTGGAGCCCGGAATCTAACCCTGGACTTCTGTACTGTGCAGAGGACGTGGTAACCAGTCGATCACCGTGCAATCAAAATGGTTGTTAATTATGTGAATTTTAATTATGTTTTATGGGAGGAATTTTGACCACAAAGCCAAAGTGGTACTTGAATGCGGCACCACCAAATACCAGATAGACTGAATCATAGTTATTTGCAAATGTAATAATAATAATAATAATAATAATAATAATAATAATAATAATAATAGTAATGCATTTTTAATGTTACATTTAATGTTTTTATATCCTTTTAAATGTCTTCAATGCTTCAGTTTTTTTCCTCTTTGCTTTGGAATGTCTCAATTTATTTTGTTTGTAAATGCCTTTGAATTTTATGGAAAGCTCATCGAGCTTCCTTGTCTATGAAATGCACAACCGTTAAACAAATAAAGCTGCTTGGATTGCCTTTTGGTAGGGCTGGAACGGATTACTCACATTTATGTTTATTTCAATTGGGAATGATGATTTGAACTACACATTTAAGATATGCATTAACTTGTTCTGTGACTACACTCATAGCAAAGCACCACTGTATACTGGATGGTAAAAAGTAACTAGGCATTAGTCATTGCTTAAAAAATAGATATCAATGAAGTTGCCATTATTGTTTTCTGTTCAAAAACACTTTTTGAACAGAAAACAAAAATGGGATTTCTTATTGTCTTATTTCTTATTTTGCAGGTGACCATAATGAACATATGGCCATCATACATGCCACTGGTGCTTATGTTGAAATGTAAAGATTTGCTATCTTTTTTTTTTCCTTCAGAAAATTTGTAATAGCATTCTTTTTAATGTGTAGTCACTTTTCCCCCACCATGGAATGCCTAATCATCATTTTTGTATTAGTTTCCGCATGTTTGACTGTTAATTTTCTTTTGTAAGAATTGTGTTAAATTGTGAAAGGACTGTGCAATGCGGACACCCTGCACAGTATAATTTCTTGGCCTACTACTATGATTATTTAACAAGATAGGACTACTGTATAACAAAAGGCACCAAAACATATCATTCAACTCAATCTATGAACACAAAACCCTTCATCATCTCCTGCATTTGGCCTTTCAAACCCAAAAAGCTATTGCTAAATATTGTCATGTACAGTATGTACAATTAGTCACTCTCGTGTGTCACCCATATCTGATCAGCAACTGACTCCCAAGAATGCCTTACCTGAATTTCAGCTGGCATATAGAAGAAAGAAAACTCACAGAATGTCAGATTACGGGTGGCTTTTCCAGTTAAGGCATCTTGTCTTAAATTCCAGAATAGTTCAACAAAAAAAAAAAAAAGCAATAATAAGCAGAATCCACAATTATGGTGTAGTATATTCTCTCAGTCTGTCAGTCAGTGAGTGACAATGTATGCCAGTGGATAGAAAGTGGCAGGTTCAGGTTCCCCAAAGCGTGGAAGCGAAAAAAGCCTCCGTGTCCGCCAGGGTGAGAATGTGACTGTGACGCTTGCGTTCACATACCACGGTAGCAGACGTGAAACCCACTTTTCTGGTTTCGCACTGGCAACGCTGACGCAGGTCTATTGTTGCCAGCCAGTAGGGCACTCCTGCCTGCGCACGCAGCATCAGAAAAAAAAAAAAGGAGACGAGGATGCCGTACAAAAAGTCCATGGCAAGAGGAGGTCTCACGTCCTGCGCAATTAGCATTTCAGACATGCCTTGAATCAGCTTAATGGCTGTTTGGGAGCAAAACCTGCACACTGAGAGCACGAAGTTGTTAAAACTGTCAACTTTATTTTGATTTGAACAAACCACAGGGCACGAGAAATAACAATCAATTAGAAGGAAGGCATGACTGCCAAGGGGTCAATCATTTGTCGTGCACTGGCGGGCAAACAAACCTCGCCCTGATCTGTGAGCTTGGGCATCAGGCGCTTTGCTGAAACAATGTTGGAAAATCCACCTCTGGTAAATAAAAAAAAGCCTCTTGTTATCAAACATCTGGGCATAAGAGTAGGGGGAAAAAGTTTGTTTTGACTTTTAATTAAGTGTGCATTTTAAAACAAAAAACCCCTAATGGATAACATTTTGTGTTACAAATAAGTCCTGCTACCAACATCAGGAGCTGTGGCAAATATTGGCTTCTTTACAGTGCCAGTATTACCTTAAGCTTGCTAGCACTGCTATCTTGCTGAAGCTAGACAAAATTCTCTGTGATTTGCTGCTTGCATTGCCCCAGAAGCACTGCACGCTCTGCCACAGATGGCGAAAGTTTGAGAGGAAGCTCTGATCCTCCCATGGGTAAGTTCAGCTTCCACGGCTCTCTGGCTCATTAAAAATACTTGACATGATGTTGGCTTTTAATGTCACTTGCGTGGCTTGTCCCATCTCAAATTGTAAAAGAGTCCTTGTTCCTGAAATGTTAACTGCACACACTCTTGTGCATACCGGGGGCTCGACAAAAGTTGCTTTAGTACACTTTTTTTGGTGGCATGGTGGTCGACGGTCACAGTGCAAAGGTCTGAGGTTCGATTGCGGTCTCTGTGTGGAGTTTGCATGTTCTCCCCATGCCTGTTTGGGTTTTCTCCGGGTACTTTGGTTTCCTCCCACATTCCAAAAACATGCATGGTAGGTTTATTGAAAACTCTAAATTGTCACTAGGTGTGTTTGTGAGTGTGAATGGTTATTCGTCACTGTGTGCCCTGCGATTGGGTGGTAACTGCTTCAGGGTGTCCCTCGCCTACCGCCCAAAGTAATCTGGGATAGGCTCCACCGTGACCGCGACCCTCGTGAGGATAAAGCGGATCAGATAGGGACCCAACCTGGACGTCTCCATGTGTTGAAAATGTTGCCAAAAAAGTGAAATAAATACACGTATATCAATATAGGGGGATATTTTCAGCTCTTTCTCGTTTTTTTTCAAGTCAAACATGTTAATTACTACCAATAAAGACCCACATAAAATTAATAAAGCCCTCCTTTAAATAATCTGTCAGTATACACCTATGATCATGTTTTTTTATAACCCAACGCCTAGCCCTTTGTGATTTAAGTTCAATTATGTGTGATTGTTCAGGGTTGAGAGAAGACAAAACCCAGCAAACCTGCTTCCACCTCTGTGGTTTCGGTCGGGTTACAACATTTTTGCTGCAGTACCGCCCCAGCTTTCGAGGGGGCAGTGTGATAAACTCTATCGACCCCTTCCTCTCATCCTGTGACACGTTACTTACTGCGCATGCGCACTGGCCAACTTCCTTTTCTCCCGTGCAGCGGAGTCAATTCCCAGTCTTTGGCTCCGGGCTCCTTCGTAAGGAGGCCAGAAAGACTGCAAAATGGTTTGTAATTTTCCCAATATGTGTCTACATGCCTACCTAAGACATTCATCTTGCTCTCGGCGCCGATTGTTGAATGAAAACACGCACTTGTGTAAATGATGACCGTGGATTGTGGCCCAAGTGTTCGCTCGCCGGCTCTGCTTCAACGTGGCCTTATGACCGTGCGGACAAACACACCACTTTCCTGTCGCATACAAACTCAATTCACTGTCAGTCAGGGTACTGTTAGTGGTCAAACATCTCACGCCGTCGTTGACAAACACCTGACGTGTCATTTCAACTGCGATCTTGGTTAGCACGTTGCTAACTCGCGTCGTTTACTTCAATTAGAGCTAAGTGCTAACTACCCAGCGACACTGACAGGCCTTTAAGTCTGCGCCGAATCACAAATGATTGTGTTTACTGACGTGTATGTATATTTCTGCATTCAGCTAACTTGTAGTGTGTCCTCCCCCGCAGGGTTTCGTTAAAGTGGTTAAAAATAAGGCCTACTTCAAGAGGTATCAGGTCAAGTTCCGTAGGAGGAGAGGTGCATTCTCACACTCACTTGTTTGATCATTGTTTTCGCATTTAATGGAAAAATAAAAAAATCACACTTGTGCTTCTTCATAGAGGGGAAAACTGACTACTTTGCCCGTAAGCGCCTTGTTGTGCAAGATAAGAACAAGTACAACACACCCAAGTATCGCATGATCGTCCGCTTCACCAACCGGGACATCATCTGCCAGGTGGGTTGCACTGCTCCATCTCTGTTGCCACGGCGATGGCGGCGCTGACCCCGTGTGACATGCTTTGTCGCAGATCGCCTATGCCAAGATCGAAGGAGACGTGATTGTGTGTGCGGCGTACTCGCACGAGCTGCCCAAATACGGCGTCACCGTGGGTTTGACAAACTATGCGGCAGCCTATTGCACCGGGCTGCTGCTGGCCCGCAGGGTATGTATCGCCGCCGAGTTACCAGACCGAGTGGGTATGTGTGCTGCTACAGTTGTGTGGTTGATTGAACCAAAAAAAACTTGATCCAGCCTCCCATTCGGTTCAGAAATGGTGGTCAAACTTCAATTTTTTAAAGTGTGAACACCATTTTTGATTGATCTGAACAGTTAATGAAATACATAATTTTTATAGGTAAATGGAGTTGAGCATGAGTGCTGACCTTGCCACACGTCTTCGTATCTCAATGCGTCGACCCGCAATGGCTGATTGACTGCACAGGTTACTTTCCAAAGTGTAGCACTCTGCTGGCCACGCGATTGTAGTTGACATAAATTGCTGGTCACCCTTTATATCCATTTACACTAGTGCTGTCACTTGCAAATCTTTTTTCCCCATCGAATAGAGGGGCTCAGCCGTACAATAAATAAACAAGTTATTTAAATAGATTGGGCCATCTTATGATAGCATCTGTGATTTATTTTTATTTTTTTTAAACATGTCTTCTCGCCTAAAATGGCTGCTATCCTTTCTCCTCCTCCTCCTCCTCCTCCAGCTCCTGAACAAGTTTGGCCTGGACAAGGTGTACGCCGGCCAGTTGGACGTGAATGGCGAGGAGTTCAACGTGGAGAGCATCGACGGGCAACCAGGCGCCTTTACCTGCTACCTGGATGCCGGCCTGGCTCGCACCACCACCGGCAACAAGGTGTTCGGGGCCCTCAAGGGCGCCGTGGACGGAGGCCTTAGCATCCCTCACAGGTGAGCTGATCCAGCATCATATAAAAAAGAAAAAACAATTAAGACATCCTTTGTTTTTAACAGCAGACGTTTAAGTAGCAATCACAGAGAGCAGTTTGAGTACATTTTACTTGGGTTTTTTTTTTTTTTTTGTTTTTTTTTCCCCTTGTTTCTTGTGGCATCATTTTTAATCTGCAGTCTGAAAAAACATCTGGGCGTGTGCTGAAAAGTGCTGTCCTTTATCTGAACTGCCATTACGTTCACTCACTGGCAGCAAAACATTTTGATTTTTTTACGCACTCCAGTTTGAGTTGTGCGTGATTAGCGGCTTGTTCTATTCTATGACTAAGACAGAACAATTGATAAGAAAAAGGACCAAATGCGACAGTTTGAAATGTGTGTGAAGTGTCAATCGAAAATATGTAACCTGAGCTAAACTGCTTGGAAGGAGGAAGCTGATCAGCGTCCCAAGAATTACACAGTGGAAATTCAGGAATAGTTAATGTTTATTGACTGACTGGCGAATGAATTAACTTTGTTGTTGCTTGGATTGATGGCACAGATGGGCTTGTTTAACATAGAAATGGATCTTGATGTGGCGCGAGCGTTAGCTAGCAAGTCGTCATTGCGCGCAAAGTGACCCGAGACCGACCGTTGTTTGTACGAGCAATCAAGTCAGCAGGACGACTTTTCCCCATGTTGAAAGTCAAGTAGAGAAAAGTATGCAAAGTGGCTGCTACAGTAGAAACGACTTCCGGTATGTTGCTACATTTACAAGAGCGCACACTCACGTTAATTTATTAATCTAAGGTGAAATTCATCTTGGCGACAATCCGTGAGCGCTGGTGCCTTTTAAAAGAAACGTTACTTGATGACAAAGCAGAGTAGCTGTTCCTCGTTTTCTACTGCATTGCTGCTGCACTACATTTTGGTTTTATTTAGAATTCAGTTTTGTCTTTTTATGTTTGCCTACTTGTGCTGCAACTAAGGGTTATTATAATAGACTATTATTTTCCTTTTTTTGCTCGATTACTTGAGGAATTGAATGAAATGCATTTTCGTATTTTATCCTTCTCACTCACTGGTTCCGCTGAAGTAATTTTCATTTATTTGTTACATAAAGGGGGGAGGGGGCGGAACTCAAACCTTTTGAGGTTTTGTCTGGCTGCACAACCGCAAACACAACCAGTTTGTCCTTGTTTCAATTACTAGTCTAGCACCTACTGCGTCTGAACATGAAGTGATCTGTGGGCAATATATAGGGGAGCGCATCAGTTACTCATGGAATTATTCTGTCCACGTCAGGGTCCCCAACTTTGTAAATGTATTGAGCAATTGCTTGAATGACCTGGAAACAAACGCCAAGTGTGTTATTAAGCGTATTAGGAAAAGTGATCGATTTGCTTGAGTTTTTCTCAACATTTCCCGCCTCCTCAGCACCAAGCGCTTCCCGGGCTTCGACACCGAGAGCAAAGAGTTCAACGCCGAGGTCCACCGCAAGC